ATGCCCTGCGGGACTTGCGGTTCACTCAGCTCCAAGCAGGGCCAACGCCAGGCATGGGGATAAGCCCACCGCAGCCCATTGGTCCCAGGGGGAGTTTGGGTGATGCTCAGGGGAGTAGGAAGGAACAGAGTGAGCAGAAAATTAACTCCTTCCAGCCAAGTGTGACCTTACCACGTGTACACCGACCACTTCTCCAGGCTCACGGTAGCGTAAGCTCCACGGTTCAGTCAGAGCATCCTCCCAGGGATCAGCCTCGGGCCATCCATGCAACACAGCAGCATGGGGAAAACCCATAGGGACAAAGCCAGGCTTGTGTGCTGACCAGAGAAAAGCTCAGGAGTCACCAGCGAGGGGCAGGGGGTGCAGAGGTGCCAACCTGACCCTGACGGGCATCAGCATGCCTAAGACCCAGCACAGGGCAGGGCTGAAGAATTCCACTGCAGGGGCAGCCCCGGGAAGGTTTTTCTCCCCTCTTTCTGCAGCAGAGCCCTCTCCAGCCTCCCTGGCTGCACAGAAGCCTTTCAAAGCCACACTCTGGCCCTAATCAACACAGCAGAGCCTGCCAAGCCCCAGCACTGGCGGCCAAGGGCAGCTCTCCTCAGGCACAGCTGGCAGAGAAATCAGGCAAAATTGAGACGTTACCCTGATGACCACCCAGCCAGCCCCCAGGCGCCTTTAGGGCTCCGGCTCTCTGTATTCACATCCTCCCTGCCCTTCTTCATGCTCTCATCATACAGCAGCTCCTTCCCAGGCAGCTGCAAGCCCGTGAGCAGATGAGGCTGCAAAACTGCTGTGAGCAAGCTCAGGAGAGCAACGATGAGCTCGGCTGGTCCTAGGGCGGCCCCCAGCCTCCCTACAGCACCTGTGTGTGGAGCGCTGGCACCCTAGAAATCCCGGGAGGAGCTCACAGGGCATCGGTGGCTGGGACAGGGATGAGCGACAGCACCTTCCCCTCCCATTGCCGAGCCGTGCAGCCCATTTTGCGAGGCTGGGAAGGATGCTCAGCCCCAGTTTCTGGCCCATTAGCTCCCCTTCCCACAACCACCTTCTCCAGCTGCTTTACCTCCCGCTGAGGCGCTGGGAGCCGCATGCGGCAGCGTGGGGAGGGATGCCCGGCTGCACGCAGCGTGAACACAGCCACACGTGCTGCGACGGGAGCAGGGGGAGGTCATGAGCGGGTTACCAAAATGCAGCCATGCTCCCAGCGTGGAGAAGAGCGCGGGCTGAGGCTGCAGTGCCGAAAGGTTTTCAAACATCCTCAGTGCCTGGGGAATGGCACTCGCTGCCACCCCAACTCCTCTCCACTCGGATCCTAAAGTGACCAGGCCATGAAAATAAGCCAGACTCACACCTCCTTGCAGCTCCCCCAATGGCTGGAAGTGCTGGGAAGGGCAGCGGAGATGGTGACGGCCCCTAAAGCGTCCCTGCCTCCCCGGCCCCTGCCCACTCCAGCGTAGCCCAGGCTTGTCCTCATTTCAGGCTGGGCGAGCAGCGGCCCGGCCCCAGAGGTAGAGAGATGATGCCAAACCTCCTAATGGAGCTTGACAGCAGTGGGATTAAAAGCACAAGCGAGATCGCAACCCCTCTGCAATCAGCTTCTGCCTTAGAAGAGCTGAACCAGAAAAGAAACCTCCTGGCAGCAGGGAGGGGACGAGGAGCCCGCACACACACAGGGTGAGGGCGGCAGGGGCTGGGGGGAACCTCGCCTGTCCCAAGCCCTCCTCGCTTGCCCTGCCAACCCATCATCAATAGGAAGGAGCCAATCTCTGCCCCCTCGGCAGCACCAGTGAAGGGTTTCACCAGCAACAGCCCTAATTCCAACTGGTCCCCGTGAGTTGGTACTTCTACTGCCCTAAACTTTGGATGCAGAGCAGCCCACACCATGGGCTGCTCGCCCCTTTCTATCGCCACCTGCAAGCTCAAGGCATCACACAGCACCTGCAAGGACCCCCCTTCTCCCTCTCCTTCGGGCACTGTGCTTGGAGTGGTGCCACCGATGCTAGAAACAACACCCGAGCAGCCGGGTCCGAGCTGGAGATGGAAGGACTCACTCAGGTGCAAGTGGATGCTCAGCAGGACACCCGCAGCCCCTACTTCTGCAGGATGGGGTGCGCACAGACCCTCACAGCTGGCACCAAGCCCCATCTGCCCCAGAGCACAGCCCTGGTTTAACTAAAAGGCAGCACCGCCCATGTTTCCCACCTGAAGGATGCTCCAGCAGCACTGCTGCCCCAGGCCTCCTGCATCCTCCTTCCCACAAGCAGGAATATCTCAGCATCTCCACCAAACCCAACCCAAATGGGCTTTTGCAGGGATGAAGTGGGGGTTAGCTTGCACAAACCACCCCGGGGGTAGCCAGTAAGTCACCCTCTGAAAAGCCAGCAAGGCACAAGCACCATCCCCATCCCCATCTCTGCTCATTTGAAACCCAGCAGCCCGAGGCTGCTCTCCTGCCCGGCAGTCGTTTGCTCCCAGCAAAATGCAGGGGAAAGTGGGGCTTTTTACTGCAAGAAAAAGGGAGCCACTCCAGGGATTGGTGCATGCGCTCGGGAGCGGTGGGCAGAGCTGATGGGTTTTGGCACAGGCTGAAAAGCTAGCTCCAGCTCCAGACCTTGTTTTGCAGTGACCTGTACCGAGAATTGGCTTTTTCCTTTTTCTTGCCAAATGGAAAGAAAAATAAATCCTTCCAGGTCAGAGGAAGGAAAAGCATTTACTCGTGGGTCAAGTGAAACAATCTGATGCAGGGTTGAGTGCGCTTTTATCCTCCCCAAACCAGGAAAAGATTAAATTTCCATCTGAAAAACCATCTAAAAATAAAAAAACAAAGGTTTTTGAGGTCAGAAGCACTTGATTTTGGTTTTTAAGCCCAAATGACTTGCTGAATTGAGCCCCACTTTGCAAAGCACAGGTCGACCCAAAACCGCAGAGGGGTGGGGAGGGGATGGGCTGAAGCATCGATCTGGAAAATTTCAACCACGCTGAGATAGCACCAGCCACAGCGGCAGCAGCCACCGCAGGGGCCAGCCCGGGATCCCCGGTGCCCCGGGATGCAGCTCGGACACCCCAACCTCAGCTCCTGCCAAGCCCGGCTGCGCGCCGGGGTGCCAGGGGGTAGGTGTTTGGCTGCCTCTGCAGCACTTTGTTCAGCCGAAGCGAGCTGTCGCTTTCCAGCCTCCTCCCTGCCAGCCAAATGCTTCCTGACAGCCCGTTTAAAACTCAAAGCACCCGATTACTGCCACAGCCAGGCAGCTGCTCACAGACACCACAAGAAACTCTTCCATACTCCCCCTCCCCCCCGAAACAAAATCCCTGCCCAGAGCATCACTCCTCGCCCTTTCCAGACCTACCCACACCCGGGGGGCACCAGAGTCCTTCTCGAGCTGGTCCAGGTCTGGCTCTGCTCGCATGTGCATGGCCTCGGTCGAGGGGCCCCCAGGTTTCCATCACCAGAATGCCAGCACCTGCTTCCCAGCACCCCAGTGGGGAGCAGAGCTGCCCGCCCTGGCTCCGTCCACCTGGCAGGGCTGACCCCCGACCCCACGCATCGCCCGAGTCCATTAGCGAGTCCCGAGAGCGCACACCTCCCTGGCATTTTGCTTAACCCCGGCTTTTACAGAGAGCTGCAGAGCTGCGCCACCTTTCAATTTTTAATTTGCTCTAAACATTTTGGTGCCCTCCCCTGGGGACTCCCAGTCAATAACCTGCGCTGGCAGCAGGGCTGCCCCATAGCTATGGGGAGGGTGGAAACGGGGGGCAAAGGAGAGGAAAGCAGCTCCACCCCAAGCTGCTCTCCTTTGGAGGAGCGGGACCCCTTTGCACGCACGCCCCGGGACGAGGGGCACCCACGCTAGCCGCTCCAGTGAAAGGGCCCCCTGTACCCCATGGAGATGCTCCTCAAGGACGGGGGGACCACCGGCCCCTCCAGGGACCTGACACCTGCAGAGACAGGGTTGTCGCAGGGTAGAACATCTTCCTCCTTTTCATCAGATGCTTCTGTGGGGTTGGGTCCCTTCAAACTTCACCTGGCACAGCCACCTCTCCTTCCCCACCGCCTGGCACCGGCGTGGCAATGCCCTGGAGCAGGGACACGAATGCCGCATCACTTTCCAGTCCCTGAGGCGTCTTTCTCTTTTTCCACTGCCTTAAGCAACAAATGTACAAACAGGGACCTGCTGGGCATGAGAAACATGACCTGAGCTGCTCTGGGAAAGGAGATGCCACCGCATAGCTGGAAGGATCAACCCAGGTCATCCTGGAGCAGGGGAGCGGCTGCGGGTGGGTTTTCGGTCCCTCAGGTGTGGGGCAGGAGGGAGGGGGTCCAGGTTTAGGGTTAAGGCTCAGTTCTTCACGCACCTTTTATCTTGATTGAAAGGGTGTGGAAAACTAATTGAGCACTTGCAGACAACACCTGAATGGCAAAAACTCCTAGGAAAAAAAATATCCTGACCAGTTAAGCATCAGAAAAGGAACATGGGATGGCAGCAAAGCCCTGTACCCCGCCTCCAACACGTACCGAGGGAGAGCCTGCAAAAAGGGTGATGCACAGTGGTAACAGCCCAGAATGCGCTCCCTCCCTCCAAAAACTGGCAGATTAGGGAGCTCCCAAGCTACAGGCGATGCCTTGATACTGCTCAACGCTTGCTGCCTCCCTCCCACGAATTTGCCTGCTCTCTTTCTGCACACATGTAAGCTCCCAGTGTCCACACGCCCCCCTTCCAGACCCCCAGAGCATCTCCCCATCCCCAGTTTCCCAAGACAGCCCACGCCGAGCAGCGGTGGGACCCATCCCCAAAAGCCCCCAGGTACAGGTCGAGGCAGCCGCCGGCCCCAGGCAGGGAGCGGGGACGGAGGCAGCCCCAGCCGGGCACGGGGACGCTGCTCACCCGCAGGGTCCTCTGCAGCTCCTCGCCCTCCCAGACCCCCAGGGGAGAGGAGTTTTAGGCTGAAGGCAGCCGAGCCGCCGAAAGCCGGCCC